TAATGACCTATAGTTGTTTGTTTGTTTGTAGTTTGGAGGACATTTTCTACTTCAGTAACTTTAGTTACTTCGACACATTTAAATGAAGACTTGCTGTAATTAATAGTTAGATATACCTCCATAAAGACATATCCAGATTGAAAGTCAAACAAATCGGTTGTATATAACTGACCCGGAACTAGTGTCCATTACTCAATAAAATATTGTTACAAAATTCGATAATTCGATAGCGGATGACACTTTCTTCTACGTAGATTATAGTATCGTATACGTAGACGAAAGTACCTTCTGCGATTAAAGTATTATCTTCGAAGATGAAAGTATCATGTACGAAGATGATATATACTTCCATATTCCGACAAAGGCACTTTTCCGGAAACCTGTATTTGACAGCTTTACTTAGATCGTGAGCGGACGAAACATGGTCTTCTATATGAACGCCATATCGGTATTTGTAATACATTTGTATTGTTATGTATAAAGGTATACAGTCGACGGCGAAATTTGCTTTTTCCCTGTGAAATCGAAATACTCAGGACACAGAAAAGGGGCATAACTCCGCTATGCTTAAATGTAGTTCATTGAATTACTGCAGTCCTTGTGGTACTTTTACGATCTGATTGTGTGAGTGTACTGTGGCTCTGATTCACCTGATTGTGTGAGTGTACCGTGGTCCTAATTCACCTGATTGTGTGAGTGTACTGTGTCCCCTGAGTCACCTGATTGTGTCAGTGTAATGTGGCCCTGAGTCACCTGATTGTGTCAGTGTACTGTGGCTCTGTGTCACCTGATTGTGTGAGTGTACTGTGGCTCTGATTCCCCTGATTGTGTCAGTGTACTGTGTCCCTGATTCACCTGATTGTGTCAGTGTACTATGGCCCCTGATTCACCTGATTGTGTCAGCATACTGTGTCCCTGATTCCCCTGATTGTGCCAGTGTACTGTGGCCCCGAGTCTCCTGATTGTGTCAGTGTACTGTGTCCCTGATTCCCCTGATTGTGTCAGTGTACTGTGGCCCGGAGTCTCCTGATTGTGTCAGTGTACTGTGGCCCCGAGTCTCCTGATTGTGTCAGTGTACAGTGTCCCTGATTCCCCTGATTGTGTCAGTGTACTGTGGCTCTGATTCACCTGATTGTGTCAGTGTACGGTGTCCCTGATGCATCAGATTGTGTCAGTGCACTGTGGCCCTGATTCACCTGATTGTGTCAGTGTACTGTGCCCCTGATTCACCTGATTGTGTCAGTGTACTGTGGCCCTGATTCACCTGATTCTGTCAGTGCACTGTGTCCCTGATTCACCTGATTGTGTCAGCGTACTGTGTCCCTGATTCACCTGATTGTGTCAGTGTACTGTGGCCCTGATTCACCTGATTCTGTCAGTGCACTGTGTCCCTGATTCACCTGATTGTGTCAGCGTACTGTGTCCCTGATTCACCTGATTGTGTCAGTGTACTGTGGCCCTGATTCACCTGATTCTGTCAGTGTACTGTGGCCCTGATTCACCTGATTGTGTCAGTGTACTGTGCCCCTGATTCACCTGATTGTGTCAGTGTACTGTGGCCCTGATTCACCTGATTCTGTCAGTGTACTGTGGCCCTGATTCACCTGATTCTGTCAGTGCACTGTGGCCCTGATTCACCTGATTGTGTCAGTGTACTGTGGCCCTGATTCACCTGATTGTGTCAGTGTACTGTGGCCCTGATTCACCTGATTCTGTCAGTGCACTGTGTCCCTGATTCACCTGATTGTGTCAGCGTACTGTGTCCCTGATTGTGTCAGTGTACTGTGGCTCTGATTCACCTGATTGTGTCAGTGTACTGTGTCCCCTGAGTCACCTGATTGTGTCAGTGTAATGTGGCCCTGATTCACCTGATTGTGTCAGTGTACTGTGGCCCTGATTCACCTGATTCTGTCAGTGCACTGTGTCCCTGATTCACCTGATTGTGTCAGCGTACTGTGTCCCTGATTCACCTGATTGTGTCAGTGTACTGTGGCCTTGATTCACCTGATTCTGTCAGTGTACTGTGGCCCTGATTCACCTGATTGTGTCAGTGTACTGTGCCCCTGATTCACCTGATTGTGTCAGTGTACTGTGGCCCTGATTCACCTGATTCTGTCAGTGTACTGTGGCCCTGATTCACCTGATTCTGTCAGTGCACTGTGGCCCTGATTCACCTGATTGTGTCAGTGTACTGTGGCCCTGATTCACCTGATTGTGTCAGTGTACTGTGGCCCTGATTCACCTGATTCTGTCAGTGCACTCTGTCCCTGATTCACCTGATTGTGTCAGCGTACTGTGTCCCTGATTGTGTCAGTGTACTGTGGCCCTGATTCACCTGATTGTGTCAGTTTACTGTGACCCTGATTCACCTGATTGTGTCAGTGTACGGTGTCCCCTAGTCTCCTGATTGTGTCAGTGTACTGTGGCTCTGATTCACCTGATTGTGTCAGTGTAATGTGGCTCTTATTCACCTGATTGTGTCAGTGTACTGTGTCCCCTGAGTCACCTGATTGTGTCAGTGTAATGTGGCCCTGAGTCACCTGATTGTGTCAGTGTACTGTGGCTCTGTGTCACCTGATTGTGTCAGTGTACTGTGGCTCTGATTCACCTGATTGTGTCAGTGTAATGTGGCTCTGATTCACCTGATTGTGTCAGTGTACTATGGCCCCTGATTCATCTGATTGTGTCAGCATACTGTGTCCCTGATTCCCCTGATTGTGCCAGTGTACTGTGGCCCCGAGTCTCCTGATTGTGTCAGTGTACTGTGTCCCTGATTCCCCTGATTGTGTCAGTGTACTGTGGCCCGGAGTCTCCTGATTGTGTCAGTGTACTGTGGCCCCGAGTCTCCTGATTGTGTCAGTGTACTGTGTCCCTGATTCCCCTGATTGTGTCAGTGTACTGTGGCTCTGATTCACCTGATTGTGTCAGTGTACGGTGTCCCTGATGCATCAGATTGTGTCAGTGCACTGTGGCCCTGATTCACCTGATTGTGTCAGTGTACTGTGCCCCTGATTCACCTGATTGTGTCAGTGTACTGTGGCCCTGATTCACCTGATTCTGTCAGTGCACTGTGTCCCTGATTCACCTGATTGTGTCAGCGTACTGTGTCCCTGATTCACCTGATTGTGTCAGTGTACTGTGGCCCTGATTCACCTGATTCTGTCAGTGTACTGTGGCCCTGATTCACCTGATTGTGTCAGTGTACTGTGCCCCTGATTCACCTGATTGTGTCAGTGTACTGTGGCCCTGATTCACCTGATTCTGTCAGTGTACTGTGGCCCTGATTCACCTGATTCTGTCAGTGCACTGTGGCCCTGATTCACCTGATTGTGTCAGTGTACTGTGGCCCTGATTCACCTGATTGTGTCAGTGTACTGTGGCCCTGATTCACCTGATTCTGTCAGTGCACTGTGTCCCTGATTCACCTGATTGTGTCAGCGTACTGTGTCCCTGATTGTGTCAGTGTACTGTGGCCCTGATTCACCTGATTGTGTCAGTGTACTGTGACCCTGATTCACCTGATTGTGTCAGTGTACGGTGTCCCCGAGTCTCCTGATTGTGTCAGTGTACTGTGGCTCTGATTCACCTGATTGTGTCAGTGTAATGTGGCTCTTATTCACCTGATTGTGTCAGTGTACTGTGTCCCCTGAGTCACCTGATTGTGTCAGTGTAATGTGGCCCTGAGTCACCTGATTGTGTCAGTGTACTGTGGCTCTGTGTCACCTGATTGTGTCAGTGTACTGTGGCTCTGATTCACCTGATTGTGTCAGTGTAATGTGGCTCTGATTCACCTGATTGTGTCAGTGTAATGTGGCCCTGATTCACCTGATTGTGTCAGTGTACTGTGGCCCCGAGTCTCCTGATTGTGTCAGTGTACTGTGGCCCCGAGTCTCCTGATTGTGTCAATGTAATGTGGCTCTGATTCACCCGATAGTGTCAGTGTAATGTTGCACTGAGTCATCCAACTGTGTCTGTATAATCTGGCCCAGAGTCGCCGATTAGGTCAGTGTAATGTTGCCCATGATCACAAACACTATGATTATGATCATTGTCATTGTCAAATATAATGAACTTCAGAATTATAAGCTTTTTCAACATAGCATAATTAAGTATTTTTTTAACATTTGAAAGATGTCTTCAAGATACACTAAATGACACAAGTTTCTCATTTATTTTAGTTTGACCAAGACATGCATCTGTTAGGAATTCATTGCATATAAATCAAAGACAGAGAATTGTAAATAAAAAAAGATAATTTAACCAGCATATAATCCAGTGAATCGGAGATGAAACACATTGTCAACCAGATTAGTAGAAACTTGTGAAAACATATACACATTTTGCCCTAACGTCTTTAGACAAGCACTATTTTACTTCAACATCACCTTCAGGTTTGCCAAGCTTGGTGTAGACTGCATCTGAGATTCAGAAGACAAGACTGGGACTTTATACTAGTTTCATCTGGACAGCTCTGATGGTCGTGCATGCTTCTACAGGCGAAGTGGTGGCATGTGGTACTGTGCACAACACAAAGGACCAGATACAGACAGTAAAACTAGTTCATTTGGGCCAATCTTTGGTTGACATTTGGAACAACATTCCCTAGGCTGTTGTCATTCATCTTGTGTCTTCAGTGGCCACTGCCTGGCCTTTATCAACACAAAATAATGGTGATCACACCTAACATTGTTAATTGTGTTGTTACACCATCCCTCTTTTAGAGCAAATAGCAACCTGTTGCCAGATATGTCTTTGGTAAATGAATAACTTGAATGAAAATACATATAAATACTAAAGCCAGTCAGTTGTCACATTCACATTTTGGCAAACCCAAAGCATTTTGAGTTTGACTTCACAAAGACAGCATGTCTTCTGGGGACGATCTTTCATTAGGATGCCTCTTACAACCAACAGTTGAAATACTTGAATCCCCAAGAGTATGGTGATGTACATCTGAATGAGCATGCTAAATCACACCGAAACAAATAACAAATATGCTCTTGAATGACAGCACTTTATTGATAATCAAGACATAGTGAATGTAATCTAGAATGGAGATAAGCATTGTAGGTATTATGGAATATACTCATCATCAGCCAAGATGGATGACAACTTTGATGATGATGCTATCAAGTACATGGAGATGTATATCGGCTGTTTATACTCTTGTCCAACAAAACCATTTTGAACTCACCTGGAACACTTCTCCCACAGCAATTAATTATTTCAACTACAACTAGAAGTAATGAACTCATGTGAAACTTTGAGTCAACCTACATGTGGATATTAGCCAATACACATTTGTCAGAATCACACAGCAGTAATCCCTAGTCATGAAAATAAATTGACAACAGAAGAAAGAAGAAATTATTAGTTTGCTACAGACATTGTAGCAAGGATATTATTGCCATGATCAGGAAAAACAGACTTTTGTCTGATTGAAATGTACGATAAGTGTAAATTGTAGACTAGTAAGACTGTCAGTGCTGTGCAAATTTCACAACAAACAGGCTCTTTTGTGTTAACTCTCAGGTGAAGATGTCACATATGATAATGCATCAAATTATTCCTTTGCAGGATTATTCAGGATCTTGCATGAGACAATATCAGTACATAGGTTCTTTGTGCAGTTAATGAAAGCGTTTACGTAAACATTTTTTAAAAATGAACGGTACCAAAGTTTGATATGAAAAATAAAACGCTACATCGATACAATCATTATACTGGCATTCTTTCAAATCTCTCTTACTACAATAAACTACAGTATCATTCCATAACAACATGCTGTAAGCTTTAAGGTACACATCATGCTCACCAAGCGAGCCATGCTGAATGCAAGCATCTTTCACTCAGATATTCATCTTGTCAACATCACTACAATCATTCGTTGATTTCATATTCTCACTGAGTTAACTACAATCAAATTGCACACATAATTAGCACACATTTATGACACACTTCGTTATATCATAACATGTAAAAAAACAAGCATGTTTATAGATGAGTATCTCGATTATGACAGTCTAAAATAAAATTTAATTCAACATGTTTCTAGGTACAACCATGTAGTGCTCTATACTGTTTTAACAGTAAAATATATGTTAATGTGTTAACTGTCACAATTACCTTTTAATCACACACCAGAAGCATCACCACCTTAGTGTCGATATCACAAATGAATCCTAATGTGGTGTAACTCCATAACAATATTTTAATAATAAATGACTGACATGAAAAATTTAACATTCAACCAAATAACTCTGAAACTGTTCATTCATGACTACAGAACATCACATTTCAATCAGTAAATAATGGTGTAAAATTCTGTGACTTGATATATGAGAAAGTAAATAAAGCAACAAAAAGTGTAAAATGACTCAAACTGGATTACTGAAAATAAAAATAATCTGACCATAGTTTTTAGATTTATTAAACTTAAACAAAATGATAATCATTGTAACAATGAGCAGAAATGGTAATCATAAATAATTGGCTATATATTTCTCTGCATACTTTGTGATGGGATATGATGTGCCATAAATATCAGATCTTCTTGTGAGTGGATCATTGAGTAACACTGATAATCTGAAGCTGATTACAAGACAAGCGTGACACAAGCTTAGAGATAATTAAGATACATTCATGATATAAAAACAAGGTAAGTAAATGTACATGTGGTATGTATGTGTGAGTAAATTAAATATGATATGAGCAAAGCCATCTTCCCACTATGTCACTGGTCCACGTACACACAGCATGATTTGTGTTATACTATTATGTGGATAATGATCATGTAATATTTCCTTATATCCCACTTACTAGGTATCAACTCAATTTTCAGTTTTGAGGAAATCTTTCTTCAAATTAAATGCATATTCACTCATAAACGTCAACTAATTTGACATATTTGCCAATTGACAATGAATTTGAAATGAGAGAACAAGTTCAATAAATGACAAGTGGCTCTCCAAATGCAAATCTTTATCATCAATGAACATTTCACCACTATGACTTTCATCTTGAGTTTCATCTGAGTGAGTGAGTGAGCGAGTGAGTGAGTGAGTATGGTTTTACGCCGCTTTTAGCAATATTCCAGCAATATAGCGACGGGGGACACCAGAAATGGGCTTCACACATTGTACCCATGTCGGGAATCGAACGCTTTAACCACTAGGCTACCGACCGCCCCTCATCATAAGTAGCATCTTATAATACACATAAAGAGGTTTAAAGCAAGTCAGAGTTTTGTCTACACATGCTTTTCTTTGTTTTTTGTTTAACACTGATCTCTTCAATACAGCAGCATTATGCTGGCGGCCTGTTAATTATCAAATTTGAACTAAAGGCAAACCAGTGACTGATATTATGAGCAGCATCCCACGCTGATGATGTGCAATCAACCAAGTCACTGCTTCTGACCACCTGATCTTTTCATTTGCCTCTCTTACAACAAGCATATGTTGCTGGGGACCAATTGTAACCTGGAATCCCAAGGGACACGATGTGTAGATGGACCTAGACACAATGGGATACAATTTACTACCGAGTAAACTGTCTTTTGTCACTACACTCAAACTGCAACACAGCAACATTAACTTCACACTGCAACATTGTCACAGTGTATTCCCGGCAATATCACCGCTGGCTACAGCAAGGTAATCCAGACACTGTCTGCTACGACTAAACACATGGAATGTTTCACACACTAGAGGGTAACACTGTATACTCAAATTCTTAAACTTAACAACAAAAAGTTTAGCAAAGGGATGGAGGGAATAAAAGTAGGAACATGAACTTGAGCAGAAAATATCTTAAAAGACAATACTTATATAAACTATGCTAAAAAGCAAAAGGGGAAAGTTAAGTTATAGTTCTGTATAGCACATCTAGGACAATTGGTTAATGGTGCATGTACTATCAGTAAGTCACCAGAGCCAATCAGCGTTATAGGATATGTAACTCACACTGTGTGGAACTAGTTTCAACCTTGAGTGGTTGTCTCTACTCATTTATCCCATGTGACTTGCCCCTTCTATGGTCAACACTCCCACCACACAACACACTTTAAGTAGGCTTCAATGTCAACTGTACATGGAGCGTATGTCAGCCTTGAAATGTGCCTCAATGTTTCTCCGCTTCAGTTTGAAGGCATCAGTCACCAGACCAGCCTCTGGTGTCCAGCCTTCAGGGCACAACTTGATCTTCTGGGGGATCTCAAACTTCTCTAGCTTTGCTGTGGAAAAAAGATAGGAGGTATATTAGTCCATTATCTGGTTGTTTCATAGTCTTGTAAGTTACATAGGGGATGCAAGTCTGACAGCACATTTTCACATCACTATGACCTTTTGAACAATCTATGTCATTACCCAAATTTGAAAGAAAATCTTTTGGATGACATTCAGTCCTAGAACATGAACTCATCTGAAACCACTGCACTGATCATCACCCCAACATGTTATCAAGGATACAAAAATAACATGCACTGTGTTCTGGGGCACTGACCAATCACATGAAACATCCTGCATGAAAACATTTCAGCTTTCAGGCCCCCAAGAAGGAAAATGAGTGAGACGATGTGACACTCAACAGTCAACAATATTAAAGTTATGCAAATACAACCTGAAAATAATCAAGTCTGGGACTTACAAACCAGTGGTTGAAATCATAAGCAATTTAGTCAACAAATTTGGGGTAAGATACAAAGGTAACAAAGTCAAACCTGTAACCACACAAGAAACTAGGGTCTTCAGCATGACACAAAATTTAAATCACCTCACAGCCCCTAACTGCCTGAGGAACAAATATTTTCAGTTTCTCTTGCCATAGGATAAATAAATTTACAGAGTAAGGACTACTTGCCAAATAGCCACGTGGTAACAATGTCTTATGCAGTTCACTTTACTTGTAAAAGTATTTCAGAAAATTATTACGTCAAATACACAGAACAAATTACACATCATGTAAAAGCCTGTATAATGATACATGATACTAACATTTAGCTGACAACACGGACAGCCTCTTGAGGACCTCCTTGACCAGGCTGGTGTTCTGACACAGCTGGTTGAACTCCACCCCATTGATGCCGAGTTCCTGAGCTAGCTTGGTCAGGTTCTTCTGGTTAGGGACAACCAGTGCCACTGTGTAGTTGTAGAGACTGTCGGCACACACACAGATCTGGTCCACCAGGGGGGACACTTTCACAGCGGTCTCCACCTTGGACAGCGACACATACTCTCCTGCCTGGAGCTTCACAAGGTCCTTCTTACGATCTGGTGAAAATAATATTCCAGTTGTACTGAGAGAATGAGTTAAAATACAGGGTGGCACAGGAAATGCTTCAGCCATTTATAAAAGTGATGGAAACATGTTATTAGTTTTAAACTCACTAAGTAAACCCAGTTAATACTGACGTGATCTAAAAAAATCTATGGCTTAGTTCAAGTAATGCATATCTACCATGTCCGTTGTACCATAAATTAAAAGCTGTCTACTGTGAAGATGAGGTTTAAATTCTATTCAGCGATTAATAACATGATATGACTTGTTTGTTTATTTATTTATTTACAGCTGCACTCTACAATATTCCAGGTAACTGGAGACCTATTCTAACCAAGAATCCATTTATACTGGATAATTCATCATACAACAAGAAAATACAATAAGAACATTTGATAGTGACCTATAATTTTCAAACATCCATCTCCATCAAACTGGCCGATATCTCCAGTACAGAAGTATCTTATGCCACCAATCTCAGTGAAGTCTTCCTTGGTCTTCTCTGCATTCTTGTAGTAGCCCATGGAGACATTGCCGCCACCAACCAGGATCTCTCCGCGAGGACAGGGCTTGTCAGCACTGGTGTAGTTACCTAAAACACACAGAACAACATGAGAGGGCAGAGGCTGTGTGTTCTGGCATACAAATATGATGACAAGAGGGAAGCTATTAATGAAAATGAAGATAAAACAAGGTTCACATAACTTGATGTTTCAACAGGTGTTTCCCAATTCAATATTAACATATGATGGCAAAGAGAAGATGAGGAAGTAATGGAAATGTATGTCATTATTGTGTTTACAAAATAAAAAGATATTTCAGTGACAATGAACCTCACTATATAAATCCAATTATCTCGAAAGGCAAGGTTAAACAACTTTTCACCGCACCTCACTAACCATGTTAACTGCAATTCCCTTAATGTTGCTAAACCTCATACTCATACTCTAGGTTCATGTACTAATAAATATATGATAATACTGTCAATATATGCGGGAAACAGTTTTTACTGAAAGATAGCATTTCTGATAAGCGGTACAAAGTCTGTTAAACACATCTAATCTTTTTCCAGTTTCCTTTCACAAGAGAGTAAAGTGTTGCCAACAAACAAAAACATGTAGGTGTACCTTCAGGCCAGTCACGCAGTCTGATCTCGCTGCACTGCAGTGGGGCCCCAACCCTTCCTGTGCTGAGGTCTGTCACTGAAACACACATTGCTACTGTGTAAGTCCACTATGGTGGGGACAATATAATCAGCATGCTTCAGTGTATTCTATCATTCTTCACAAATCATGAACATCCATTCCATCTCTCTATGCTGCTATACCTTCCGTGACAGTTCCTGCACCACAAGTCTCTGTGAGGCCATATCCCTGACCAACAGGACAACAGAAGCAGATGTTCATGAAACGCTGTGTTGCATCTGACAGGGGGGCTCCGCCACATAGCATCAGTCTCACATTCCCTCCCAGGAGCTTACAGATCTTGCTGAAGACAAGTCTGAAACAATTGGTTCTGCATCTTTAGAAACTACTGTAACAGAGTATCCAATAAAGACAAATACAAGTATAATGGGCGATCTTTTTCAATTTATCTTCCCTTCACTAACCCGCTAGGTGCGCTGACCCGGACAGTCCAACCTTAAACTGACGGCGCATGTGGTATGCGCGATACGAGCACTACATGTTACTATGACGCCTATAGACAGTTAACTAGTACAACCTTCACCACTGTCGGCCAGCTGTCGGTCACACTTGTGTGCGGACAGTATATCTTTTCGCCTAAACAATTATTTATCTATTGCCATGTCCGGAAATAAATGTTCCTTGATATATTATACATCAGGGATGACCACGACTGATTATATTGTATAGTTAACCACTAGATAGGCGTTCAACCATGCGGTGTAAACAGCTGATCGTTCATCCCAGGTCGCTTTGTTGACGTTTTGCAATCGGTACTGAAAGTGTTGCCCTTGATGCATGATTATGAAAATTAAGTAGATTTTGTATACGTTCCTATATCTATGTTGTAGCATCGCCGAGCAGGCTACATCATATGCATGCATTTCAGTATGTAAAACTGTGAGGGGATACGTTACGCGAAATGTGAAGGTCTCATGCAACATTGCCTGTAGGCTCAATGTTGTGAATATTGACAGCAACACATGTAAGTATTTGTCAGATATATAACTGAGAGCAATGAGAAATGTTCTCAAGAAATTGTAAGAGTAACAGGCACTGTAAAAGTACGTCATCAACTAGATATCATGATACAATCTTCAAAATAAAAGAAATGGAAATCACTGAAATCTGTTTTGATATTTAAGGGTTAATTGGTGCATGTTGTATACAAGGATTTTATGTATATGAATGGTAGCTGTTTGTTGCCAAATACTACCATGATTATATTTCAATATGATCAATGAAAGATATATAATATTTTGGCCTTTTTTTAATTTTACAAAGCAGAAAAAACCCAATTCAGACACAGGGGACCCTATAAATTAGTTAAAATACATATTCAAGAGTATTTGTACCAACTACAATTTTTATAAAATAAAACAATATATTCATACTAATTGCTAATCTCTATAATGTTGATTGTATTAACAATGCAGTGTCTACATCCAGTTTGCATTGACAATAAACATATGATTGTGACACAGATAAAGCTGATTCTTAACTCCATTAGGCCTTGCTTTTTCTGTTTCCTTGTTCTAAACTGATGTTTCAAATTCCAACATAAACAAATTTTTAATGTTTTTCTTTTTTCTCTTCACACCATAAGATATCTGCATTGCACAATGACTCTTATTATTTTATTTAATATCTTGGCACACTTGTGCATGTGTACTAGGATTGGGACTCTGCATGGTATTCTTTCAGGTTTGGAGAATCAATCAATTCATTGTGAAAACATTTTTAATTTCTTACATAAGTTACTTTGATCTTGATAAGATCAAACTAGATCCAAATAAATTTGAGAAGATTAAATTATGCAGTCTATACATTTCAGCCAGTTTGTCTAAAATCCGGTCCTATTTTTAGTCAATAATGAATGAATGAAAATTTAAGAAAAAATATACCTTACCTGAGTGAATCAGTCAATATGCATATTGACTGAAATGTTCAGTCAAAATACATATTGGGCCTGATTATAGACACTGACTGTAACATATGTAAGTATAATCTGTTATATGCAAAAACAAAAAACAGAAATAAATCCATTTATCTACATGGAATGACTGGGGGGTTCAATTTCCATTTATTTAACCATCAGAAGATTTGATGATAAACTTTCATATTCATATTTTCATATAAAATATATTTCCTATATGATAATAATAACTACAAAATATACTTTAAACTACAGGTGTCTTGAAGTACTGTTGAATGAAAATCAGGATACTTAGATACAGCAGGATAGTGTGTGGGTTTGTATGGGAAATTAGTCAACATTAAAAAAATATAATGTTACTAAAACAAGAAGATAAAACTTTGATTTAGATCTATTTATGCATCATACACATTTTGTGGGGTAGTCAGTATGATTTGTTGTTTGTTGGGACTCATCTCTGTAATTAGCTACTATTTTAAGAGCATGAGTATCAGAATTCTGTAAGAAATGATGGATCAATGAATTAACACCTGTGATGACTCAGAGCACTTTATGGTGGGACACATGTTATAAGGGGCAGAATAATATGTGTAAGTCTCTTATTTCAAAGTATGATGACTAGTATGCATATTGCAACTGAGTAACTGAATGCTTAATAGATGCATGGTAGATGTTCATTAGGCCTATTTCTACAAAAATAATATAAATTTAAATATTCAGATGCAACTTTAACTTTGATATAAAAAGTAACATTTATAATCAGTTGTTTTATTATTTTGAACATTTTTTCTTCTTAAAATATTTGAAAAGGCACGGATGTATACTTACTATATAGATCATTGGTAAAGGCCCGTCAATTAAAGATGTCTGTGTGCTGCAAATGTTGGCGTATCACTAATTTTATTAAATTGAAGTTCGTGGTAGTATTTGTTGAGATTTGAATGCATGAATTGTTGTAGGAAATAACACAAAGGCTGATAAATAAAATGAGTTTGCATTATTTCATCGATGCAATATGTTAGCCCAGACTGACAGAATGCCTCGCTGTTTTCTGACGTAGAAAATACCGTGACAATATACCATTTTCCATGACGTTTTCCCCGCTATATTCCAAAGTGACAATTCGTCTTGTAGTTGAAGACTCAACAAATGTTGATAATATAAACTAATAATCACTACAAAATATGTGCTAGTTAAAAATATTCAGTTGTAAACGACCGTTTTTGAACGAAGGTGCAACAGGATAACTCTTTAGCTAGGCTCCGTCTCTACATGTCAGTCGTTGTCGCAGCGCGCATTGATCCGGGAACCAGACTGGAAGCGACAGGTTGGACCGCCGCTTATATCATTTCAAAAGGAGAGTTATTGCCCTTTGGAACAAAAAGATCGCCCATAGTCTAAAACTTGTGTCAAGGCAAATGTAGTCATAGAAACTCCTTCAAGCCTTACTCTTGGTGCGCTATAAACAGAAGCAATTTGATATATTACAATATATAACAAAAACAAAGAGAGCTTGAACAAGAGGAACAGAAAATATGCAGGGATGTCATACAACATAATTCTACATGAGCTTTATCACATTAATCTGTCAGTGACATAATACAGATGGTTACATTTCAGGGAAATATTGCATTATCTCCCCTTAGCCAAGCAACGATAAACGTACCATATGACTATCACATTATACAGCAACTAATGACTATCAATTTCAACTGAAATGCTAGACAACATATAGTTACTAACTTGTTAAGCAAAGGTGTATCATATCCATTCTCCAACTGTTTCCTCTTGTACTCATAAGCGAATGAAAATAAGGCCTGTCCGAACTTCCCTCCACCATTGACTTTGTCCCACACACCCTTGTAGATCCTATCCATGATCACCTGAAACACACTTGCTTTGATACAACCAGGGTGGTCAGTGTTAAATGAAAAAAGGCATCTTCAGTAGACAACAGAGAGTGAGAGAGAGAGAGTAAATATTGAAGTGCCTATACTTACAGGAACGGCAGCCATCAGTGTAGGCTGTAGGACTGACACATCACCTTTACTACCTCTCTTTATCTTACTGGACTGAAAAACAAACAATAGCAGTACACAATCACTGCAAAACTCTTATAACAATGTAGATAGGAAAATCTCTAGTTGCAAAGGACAATGATTTTACAAAGAGTACTTCTGTTTGCAAAAAGTTATTGCCGTAGAAAGTCATCATTATTATGTGAACTACTACCCTTCATAATAATGGTGAAATACACATACATAATGTTCACTGCATAAAACAAATGACAAGGTTGAATGTCCTGCAGCAACATGTTGGTGATTCTGGTTTTCACTCAAGCTGAGGTGGAGATAAGATAAGAGGAGAGATGCTAATTTCACTATTATTGGTAAAAACATATTCATGATTACAGGTAAGAAACAGAAATATGGGTTTTTCAGATTAAAAACGATGTTTTATTGGTCTGTTTTCAGTCATACAAATGGGTATCTCATACCTCTAGTCGCACGTTAAAAGGAAGCCAGAAGCTGGAATGCAAACAATAAACTTGTTTCCGTCCGGTTGCGCACGCACCTCCCTATGACATGTCACAAATCTCGAAGAATAAGCCATCAAGCAGGACTGGACTGGATTGCTTCCCAGTGGGGATGGCTGGGTGGGAACGTACGACTGAAAACAGACCAATACAACATCGTTTTTAATCTGAAAAACCCATGTTTTAGTCTGTTTTCAGTCGTACAAATGGGTAGAATTCGACGGAACACTGGAAGGAGGGTCGGGAAAGTAATCAGGAAGTGACCTCTTTCATGTTGAATGTACCAAGTTCCTCACCCCTGTAGTGACAATAGAACATTCGACCAGATGCACGGACGAGACAAGTTGTTTATCACGAACGCACAGCATGGTTAATGCTCATCGACACACAACTAATTATCAATGCGACAGGACAACTGCACACGTCAGTTGAACTGCGATCGAAGTGGTCAACGTATAGTTTAGTTACAGAACAACTCGCAGTATACAAGGTAACTAAAACAGCATGTTTAATGCTCTTCGACCCACAAGTAACTATCGATACGACAGGACAACTGCACACGACAGTTGAATTGCGATCGAAGTGGTCGACGGATAGTTTAATGTCAGAACGACTCGTCGTATCCAAGGTAACTAAAAATAGCATGGTTAATGCTCTTCGACACACAACTAATTATCGATGCGACAGGAAAACTGCACACGTCAGTTGAATTGCGATCGAAGTGTGGTCGACGTATAGTTTAGTTACAGAGCAACTCGCAGTATACAAGGTAACTAAAACAGCATGTTTAATGCTCTTCGACCCACAAGTAAGTATCGATGCGACAGGACAACTGCACACGTCAGTTGAATTGCGATCGAAGCGTGGTTGGTGCATAATTTAGTTACAGAGCAACTCGCAGTATACAAGGTAACTAAAACAGCATGTTTAATTCTCTTCGACCCACAAGTAAGTATCGATGCGACAGGACAACTGCACACATCAGTTGAATTGCGATCTAAGTGTGGTCGGCACATAATTAAGTTACAGAGCAACTCGCAGTATACAAGGTAACTAAAAAATACGAGCAGTACTTCTTTTCTGAGCCAATGTCGAACGCGACCTGATCGAGAGGCTCGTAAGTCTAACTTGACCTGTAGCGCAGAACGATATCGAGGTCCCAGGTCGGCAGTCGGAATTAATGTGACTCATCTTCAACCATGAAGGCACGTAGAATTTTCTGCAATTTCGGTATTTATGTGAGCCTGTCGCCCGTAGGAGACGGCTCGTTCAGGTAGAAGGCGACCCTGATCGCCTGCCGATGGAGCCATTCTACGACCCTCTTCATGATCCGTGTGATGAAGTCTTCCCCCTACCGGTAGCTCGTCTAAAGGTAGTAGACTCCGACGTCGGTGACGGCGGGGGAAGGGACCTCACTACCTCCCCCGCTGGCTCGCTGTCGACAGCAAAGCAAGCGGTTGTAGCTGGTGACGAACAGAGTGTCCATGGATCCCCAATGCCTGTCTACTACAAGAATCTTGGAGGGCGCTGGTTTCCTGAAGAGTAGCCCCCAATCCAAGTCCCTACTCATGGGTGACGAAAACGCATGCCATAGATCGGGTAATGCGATCGACCAGGTGGTTTGCTGAAACTCTGCCCCGGCAGAGCAGAGGCAAGTTCTGGTCCATATCGTGAGCCATGGCTCTGAAGACATCGGGAGAAGAAAACTGAAGAGACTGCGGCGTATCTCCAACCGACGTAGATTGTGTAGATGTAGATGAAGGTACTGGTGTACTGGTCGATGGTCCATGGACCTCCAACGTAGTCGAATCCTTCTTGGTCGACGCCGTCGAGGCGAGTACCGCTGTCGTGATCTGGGCTTCAAAGCCGTGTCGATATGAAAGTGAGACGAGTGTGTCGATCGGTCATTATCTCTACGATGCTGTTGTCACAATCCATCGTCGATGTCGATTGTGTAGGCGTAGATGAAGGAACCGGTGTACAGGACGATGGTCCATGGACCTCCGACGAAGTCGAACTCTTCTCGGTCGTCGCCGTCAATGCGAGTACCGCCGCCGTGATCTGGCCTATCAAAGCCGGGTCGATATGAAAATGAGACGAGGGTAACGAACGATCATTATCTCGACAACGCTGATCTCGCCAAAACTCCCTTCGAGAGCGTTGCACGTCCCCGTGTGGACGAGGGCTACGATCTCTAACTGTAGAAGTACTACGATCCCCATCGTAGTTATCGTCCGAATCAAACTCCCAACGACCTCGAAGGCGACGAATGTCCTCGTGTCGTTGACTGTCTCTCGCCGAGGCATTCGACCTGTCGTCCTGGGGCGGGAACGAATTGTAGAGTGGGATCCGTGTTCACTGTCGACCTATCGTCGTTGGTAGGACGAGAGACGGACCGACTGGGGACTGTAGTCCCCTTATGGTCCTCGTCACGAGCCGGTCCAGTCGTAACGGGGGTGGCTGAGTGACGCTCTCGATCAACCGATTGACGAATATCAGTCGTGCGGGTAGTATCATCAGCAGGCGAACGGTCACGTGTCTTGTCGAAAACATAAGTTGACTTGGGCGGGTCGTTATCAACTGATTTCTTGGGTGTGGCCGACGCGCCAACCCAAGGGCCAGGTGTAGAGACTGCAGAGTCCAGGGATCCACCCGATGACCTACTCTGCTTGTAGCGCTGGTCAGTAGCCCGCTTCGCCAACGCATGAAGATACCAATTAAAGTTTATTCTTTACAACGTTTATCCAACGAAACACGTTGAAAATCCGTCCTTAATTATGCAGGAAGGACAATACTTGTGTAGATCTACTTAAGACAGTATACGTTGACACGAGGCAGAAAAGCCCGACATGTTGCCACGTGTATAATCAAGTAAAACAGTGAAACACGTGTTGAACACAAACAATGGATTACCAAGGATTACATTCCAGGAGTCTACAGGTAAGACATATTATTATTACTGTATTAGAACAACAACTGTAGACACACGATAAGTACTAGTAGAATACAAACTAGCAGTTATCGCGAAAGTCCTTCTCGAGCGACCAGCTCAGAGGCGTGCTGAGAGATTTTGTGACATGTCATAGGGAGGTGCGTGCGCAACGGAACAGAAACAAGTTTATTGTTTACATTCCAGCTTCTGGCTTCCTTTTAACGTGCGACTAGAGGTATGAGATACCCATTTGTATGACTGAAAACAATAGATTTTTCCAAATAGGGAGATATTCAGACACCGAAGTTCCGTGTGGTCTCCCCATTTAAACTATGGTTAAAGACCTAAGTGCTAAACTGTTTGAAACAACATTGTCTTGGTTGTATCTAAAAAGACATTCAAGAGATCTATGCTTAACTGTGAAAACACTGTGTTCCCTGTGTACCACGCTTCTTGAAACCCGAGCACAAAAATAAATAATCTAAACATAATTTGTCCATGTTAAAGGCCGGGGTTCAAGCCTATGCACAAAGGGGGTGTGGCCACAATGTATGGTTAAAACTGTCTTTTGGTGCAAAGCAAAGCAGTAGTCAAATACATTCGATGAAATATCACAAAATCGACTTACCAATTAATGATGATATTCAGCCATAGTACACAGAAGGATGTTATGAAGACTTACTATGAAAAAATATGGATACAGATAGTCTACAAAACGAACAATTTGGAAAATATTTCCTCCTTATTGTAATCCAGATTTGAATTTGCCACTGTATCAGTCAGGTGACCAGAGGAGGTGTGTATCCATAGCAACATGTCTGCTAGTGGAGGAATGATTGCCATTCAAGGTTTCATATTTCACTTTCTCCCCAGACAGTGAAACTGACCCCCACCCCCACTCCCCCTGTGTGGGAGTGTAATCTGTTTTGACACTGACACCAACAAGAACATTTGATTCTCCCATGAGGGGGTGATATTTTTTTGGTATCTATGTGATCATTACCAACACTTCAACTAGTTAACTTTCATTCTATTTGATGGTTAACCTTTGTTGTACTAAATTCTTTATAATAACCTAAATTTCACAAGACCAAAATATACCAATCTCCTCTTCTCAATGTACCTCTCCAACCCATACGCCCCCCCAAAAAGCAATGAACCTGGCTTTGTTTTAGCATGCGATCACTTCAGGGTCTGACCACTGCTCACTGACTCCAACTATCTGAATAAATTGGACATCTCTTGTTTTCTACCACGCCATACTGATTTCCTCACATGATGGATCCAAATAAGCGACCTGCTCGTTTCACAATTGAAGTACCAGGTGATCATGAAGTCAAGGAAGGTATTCTTCAAAAGCTGAAACAGGTGAAAGCTCACCTGAAAGCAGAGACCAGCAAGCCTGCTAATAATGCTGATGTTCTGGACCGGGTATTATCGTATTATCTCCAACATCATGGCCTGACTGCCCCGGAAGATCCACCAGTGACACACCTGACAGCTGGACCAGGTGACACTGATGACAGATTTTTTGTTATATCTGAATCATCCATGAAAATGTGCCTGGATGTAGCGGAAAAGCATGGACGAAAATGCTCCAACAGATTGACTGTGGCCCAAATCAGTTATCGAGGCCATGTCATGAAGATGAAAGTACGCTGCCGCAAGTCACACCAGTATCGTCTGGCGTCCTCACCCTACCTCCCAGACAACAAATTCCTGGTGAATGAGAAGATTGGACATGCTTTTTACAGCTGTGGCATGTTACCAGTCCAATACAGCAGGTTCTGTTCAGCTGCAGGGATTGGTAATCTCTCACGTAAGTATAGAGAAGGACAGCTTACCACTTATAAGAACTGTGTTCAGACAGAGTATACGGATTCCTGTGAAACGGCATTGTTAGAAGAAGTTGCTGGTTATGAAGATTTAGATGGCATAAATATCATGACAGATGCTCGGCATGGCTGGCGGAAAAATGCCAAGGACAGTAGTGTTGTGGCCATTGGTGACCACACACACAAGGTGTTAGCATGCCCACATATCACTAAGCAGATCGATCCCGTCTCTCAGAGACATGAAAAGATTGGAACTGTACAAATCTATGATTACCTAGAAGAGAATGATGTCCGTGTTAAAGTCCACACACATGACAGAAATTTATCTGTTAATAAATTCATTCGGGACAGTCGAACTACAATTAACCAAAACGACACATGGCATGGTGTAAAATCGGTAGCCAAATCTCTTTCTGCTGTATCCAGTGGGCCAAAATATAAGCATGGCAGTACCTGGCATGAGCAGCTGTCTGACAAAGTACAACCTGTCACAACTCACTTTCATCATGCCATTCGGAATTGTTATGGTGACAGTGATTATCTGAGATCTTCCCTCTTAAATGTGATCGAACATTATAAGAACAATCATTCAGACTGCAATCCTTCATCTAGATGCAAGAAAGATCCAAACTATGAACCATCACGTATCGTGCTCACAAGCAAGAAAGCAATCTCATTATTGAAAGGAGTCATTACAAATACAGTCATTTTCAAGTACCCAGATGACTTCAATTTGGCCAAAGATACATTCTATGTTGAAAGTTTCAATAATGTTATGAATATTTTTCAAGATAAAAGAATCTCATTTTCTGACAGAGTGTATGACATGAAGTCTCAATTAGCTGTTTGTCACTGGAATGAAAATGTTGATAGGAGCTTCACTTCCGAGTGGCATTCAAGGAATCCAGGTGCACAGAGATGTCGCAGGAAGAAGAATTACAAATCTGTCTCCTACAATTACAGGGGCAATGTATGGAGCAGATATTTAGGCAGATTATTTTGACCTGAACCAATTACTTCTTGCCAACTGATAGACAGATAACATATTTTCTCTTGCTGACACTTTTAATTGCTGATTTGTTTATGACTTTACTGTCAACTATAAATTATCTCCAGTGTTACTTCATGGTAAAAGTCTTGAGAAAGCTGTGAGAAACATTATTACATCAAGACACAGTGAACATGGAAGTCTCTCACATTGATGGTAACTCCTTTGCAGCGAGAAACTATTTACAGTTTATTTCATCACCACAACTGGGATATAATAGAAGTTCCTCACTCCGAGACAACAACACCAGTTACAACTGTGCCGGATATTAATGACCCTGATGATGACCCCAAGTTTATGATCCAACAGGGAGCTGATGCAGATGTGTGTCCTCATTGTTTATGCAAACCATGCATAACGGACTCTAGTAATAAGCAAATGTGGTGGGAAGAAGACATCCTTCAAGACAATGTTCATAATTCTGAACTAAGAAAGGGACATTATAAGAGATTTTGGACTATGCTTCTTCACCGAGGTGTATGGAGGGATGCACGTTATCAAGAGAGAAAGAGACAGGCATTAGAAAGACATGTGAACAGACATCACTTGGTATGGAATGGAACCCGACACAAACGTGACCTGATGCCTGATTGTGTTATAGTACTAGTTCGGACATGGCTACCAAATCCACCAAATAAACCATATTTGGGACATACCTGGAATTGATGCTACGATTATGTATTTGTTATGTTTGCATCGGTATGTGGAATACGCCCTTTCAATAATTGTGTTTCTTCATTGTTTATGTAGTATTATATTGATGTTATTGTTAATAATGTACTCTCAATTACCCTAACAAGGTTATCTGTTAATGCCATTGTTGTAAAGTTAGAAATATCAGAAGATCTTTAACAATTGTGCTTATAGTTCATTTATATGATGAAGTGAGCGCCTGTAATGACACATATTTGTTGGTTGTAAACAATATATATAAGTACCTATAAAGGTACTTTGCCGTGAATTAAAATGTGTAAATTAATGATGTTTATGTTGGGCACCTCCTCCCTCTGTGTGTGTGTGTGTGTGTGTGTGTGTGTGTGTGTGTGTGTGTGTGTGTGTGTGTGTGTGTGTGTGTGAGACTTAAGTGCTGTGATTGAAACTTTTTGTGAATAATACTTTTGTTTTAGAACTCATTTTTTTTGTAAATATGTACATTCATGAATAAGTAAAATTTCATATATTGTTATCAAATGATTCTGTCTTTTTTCTTTTGAATTTGTAGAGAAAGTGTAGTTGGATTATTCTTGTAGTAAATTCCATGCTTAACCTTTGACCTCGCCAGGCTCCCACCAAGCAGCAAAACCGTTAGAGCTCTGTCACTCATGGGCAGATAAAATCTACACTGCTGAGGAGTAGCCAATGGGAGACTAATTAGAAACCCATGGGTTTTTTCAGTTTGCACTCCGGCCTTTAACTGGTGAGCATTTTATAAGAAACCATAGTCCTGAAAAGAGTACTTTTTTCGATCTGTTTGTTTCTATTAGGTAAAAGCTACTAAAACAAACAATGTTCAAAACAGATTTAACATTCAGAATAAAACACAAATATCCCAATTTATGACAAGAGTAACTCTTTGTTTTGATGTCATTGTCAGAAGAATTACAACATATGACAATATGTGGTTCTGGACCAGGCAATGTTCACTGCTTGAGGGACGTCTATGCCAGAGCATGATCCTGATGTTGTGAACACCACATACCCACTCAGCTCTTATGACAAGCATGGGGTTCTGGGTGAATAATGTCCAGTATTTTGAACATGGACTATGGTTATCGTAATGGCAAGTGAGGCTGTAACACGAAGCACTGTACCTGGTCTGTGAGAGTGAGGGGAGAGGAGTAGCCAATACACACACCATGGGAAACACAGGACAGTTCTGGAACAACACACATATCAAAATATACCCTGGTAGGTCACAGGTGTAAAATCTATGTCAATTTAGTCAAGAGTCTATCTGATGAAATAAATAAGAAACCTTAATCTTTTTACTAACTTTTATGTGTCCCATGAATAGGAATCTTAGCTGGGTCAGTTTCTAACACTGCTAGTGATTTTAAACATTATAAAAACAAATTTAAGAACATGCTTTTAGCACTTAACAATGTACATACCAGCAGCTTTCTCAATTAAAAAAAATAGTTTTTTAAAATTATGAATACTGTGTACATCGGGGAACACATAACAGTACATCCTTGACACATTTCAAGTTTATCTCTGACAACAAATATCTTATGGTTCAGAAAGTCTTTGACTGTTATCCAGCTAAATTGTTAAAGAAACTATAACTTGTTTGCTCCTCCATACCTGCACTAAGTTCCAAAACATGAGCTAAGGGGAGATAACCTATGTAGATGTCTGGTGGTCTGAAATTACAAAAGACAATAATGACTTTCATAAACACTGAAAACATACATGATAACATTTCACAATGTATCTGTTTCATAGAGACATACACATATTAAGCAAGCAGAAATAGTTGACCTGAAAAATCTGAAGATCACCTACCCCAAATTTGGTATCCTTTCACACTGGCCAGACATGCCGGACATCAGGTTGCCATGGCTGATAAGAACACCTACAGCAAGCAATATCAAATGTCAGACTTCATGTCAGGCAAAGGCTCCCAAGAACATTTGCAAAACTAAATGCAAAGAGTGAGTGAGTGAGTTGGGCTTAACGCAGCCTTACACAGTATTCCATTTATATCATGGCTAAAAAGCAGGAGAGGTGCAGGTATTTCAGGGGTAGATTTAATTGCTGGCTCGTTGGCCCATGGCCAGTTTAAATTACAAAGGGCTTGGTGAAACAAAGTAGATGGCCGGTCTGGCTGGATACAATTTCACCCCTTTTTCCGATTATGCTTAATTATTTTAATTTGACCATCTTGGTAGAATGACAAGTTGCTGCCATTTTGTAATGTTGTGTACAACTACTTCTTTATTTGCTCATAAATCGCCATAAAATGAGACAAAAAAGAAGCCAGGATTTAATCTCTGTATGGAAAAAACGTTTTAGGGGTGAGGAGTTCTACAAGTTTCAGAGCCATGATTAGGTGCTGACGCGACCTCAGGTTCAGCCACTTCATGGCCTCCACCTTTTAGTTGTAGGCTAGTTAGTTTGGAAAAGGGCCAGTAACTTTTTAAAGGAGCAAGCCTTGCTGGCTACATACATATTTGTTGTTCAATATACCCCTGTATTAGACATATACCACTAATAAACTATGAACATGGGTATGGTGCTGACAAACCTAGAAACATAATCACGGAAAATCAGGGGTTCACACCCATAATCATAGATTTCCGACACCTACGAGTTACTGATACATCTACGAGATTTTGACACACCTATAGTACAGCTTTCAACAGTTTTTCAGGCATAATACGATGTGTCAGACCGATGTGGAAGTTAACAGAATCAATGGTTAAGTCCAAAGTGTTGCAGGTCTCCAATGTAAACACACAAACATCGGTATGGTGCTAAAAACCTTGAATTACAAGCAGTCAGTGTAATCATAAGGAATCAAGTTTTTCATCTGCCATGACACTTTGGAACTGCTCTCTAAGACCTCTTGCAACAGGGATGAGGAGGTTCCAACAATCCCCCAAGTTGAGAGTGTGGAGCTGTATCATCAACCCCCACCGGTTTGTCTCGTGGGAATGTAGGCCATTATTCTATAGCTTTGATATTGCTTATTGTTATAAAAAAGATAGCTATGTGATAAATCACAAAGAACAATGAAGAAGCAAGCGTGGTTTACTTCACGATAACACACTGTTCTATAGTGACATCATTTCTGGAAATTTGAATATGATGTCATATATTGAACATTATTTTTGAGAGGGAAGTGTCTAGTAAATTGTTCCCCATAGATGTAGCTGGGCAACGACGATAAACACAATGGCAAAACAATAGCATCCAAAAGTGGGAGAGATATAACATATTTTATCAACATCCTTAAAGAGGCTGCGCCCATCATGGTTTATTCTCCCTGCAGTGTTTTATTGTACGATAAACAACTCCCACTCGTCATTATTTTCTTAAGTGAACTGCTATCACTGACCCTTTGGCAACCCTGTGGAGCCACTGGTGTACATGATTACAGCTATGTCTTCTCGGCACGGGTGAGTGACAGGGGTCTGCACTGAAACACATCAACAAGTCAGATTAGAGAGACATATGTAATCATCAAATATTCACCCTATTAATTTTTTTTTTAAATGTTAGGCAGGAGGTACTTAATTTATCATCTCGTATAGCATATTTTTTTCTAAACATACTTTTCAACATGTTGAAGGCATCTGTGTACATTAATTACTGATGGATGTCACTCACACGATGAATGAACGTTTGGCACGACTTTGAATGTGGAGTATTTCAAGAAAAGAAGCAAGGCATCACACATAGAGATTTCCTTTATCTGAAGGGGGACAAAAAAATGAGGTGGTGTGGTTGATAGTAAGGTGAGAGAGAGAGATGATAACATAATTTTTTAACGTATTATGGCCTATTGTCCTTAGATTATCAGGAAACAGAACACCAACCAGAGCTTTAGATAAGCTGTGTATTTGTGTAAATATGCAAAATAAATCAAGATTGCCAATTAATTTTGAGTTGCTTGTGTACAAATTTGGATGAAATATTTTAAATACCATTAGTATAAAAGCTTGCCCTCTGTTAATTAGACATGTACATCATGATATATTGCTGTTGTCACTATACATTACAATATGTTACACACTTGGAGCAGCACACTCACAGATACAGATTAGAAGTCAACTTAAACAGTGTTTTGAGCAGAATTTTATTTTGTAAATGTCCTCTCAATTGTGTAAAAATACCAAAAAGACGGAAACCAAGACAGTAAAAATATACTGAAAACCCATAGAAAACTATTGATATATTAATATGCAATGGGAAAGATAATCTGTGAGCAAATACTCAATGTCTCCAAAATGTATCGGGAGCCCTGCACCACCTTTAGTCGAAAATAGCACTGGGTCTATGAGTGAGAAATGGCATTTACAGTTTTCTGGTTGGGCTCCCATGTACTCCACGTCAGTCATACTGAGCAGCTTCACCCTGCTGGGGATGTTCTTGACAGCAGGCAACTTCTTCCCCCCAGTCATCACAATCAGGTGAGTCACCAGAGGGATTCGATCCATCAGACCCTGGCATACACATAATACACATTATAGAGGGAATGGAGATATTTGAATCTTCGAATAGCATCTTCCTGAGGCAAGGGTGTTAACTGCTGTAAAAGTCCAGTTCCCCCCCTTGCTGAACTAGACTGGATTTTCTGGGCTTGATCATAGTTCCACCAGTAGCACAATTATGAGTTATGCCCCTTCTTTGACCCTCATATTAATCATATCACTTGCATTTGCGCCAAACAAAATGGCAGCACCCGATCAAGATGATCCGACTGAAAATCAAGATCTATATTACAGAGCTGATCTTACTTCGCGGAGTGCATCAAAAGACCAGAGCACCTTGATTAAAAGGGTGAAAAGATTCGGGAATATATCTGCCACCCAGTTGACGGTACACCTCCTCCATAGGTCGTGCAATTGACCGAAAAGTGCATGACAGACACTATGTTGTTTATCAACAGGATGTTGATTTTGTTACTATGCATAGACTCGTCCAGCCAAAATAGAACTCCATAATTCCAGTCTAGTTCAACAAGAGTGCAAACTGGAGGATGGTGAATAGTAAAACACAGCCATCTTCTATATATGAATGAATATTTTCATTTCTATGTGTAAACAGTCCTCAATGCAGGGGTAGAAACTAACAGTTTTTGTCCACTAGTCCTCATAATGATAACATACAGCAAAACCCTTAAAATTGGCCAATTTCTACTAGTCCTTAGGATACCTTTACCATTGGGCAGTTTGGTAAGGACTACAGGACTAGTGCCAATTTCTAACGCTGCAATGACTGGAGAGATAAACAGCTTCCCTTATATGTGTCTATGCAAAAGGTTATGAGCAAGGAGGACTATGAACTATCCAATTAGCAATCCTGCAATGAATATCACAGTGACCTTACTCTCAGAAGTGTATTATTTTGTTTGTTGTTACACACAGTTCTCAGCAAATTTCCATCTAGATGACGGTGTAATGTAAATAATTGAGCCTTGACCAGGCAATCAAATGATAAATAATGTAAGAAAGAATCGGACGTACATGGATATATAATCAGGCATGTCACTGACCCTGACCACCCGATCCATTAAGTTGCATCCTAAAACTAGCAAAAATCCCCATGGGCATGGATCTACAAATTTTGCAGCACTCCTACCTCAAACTTGGACACCAGACTGTCTGATGTTATAACATGTGTCACCTCTGTCTCCGTGATGCCATGGACAATTGCATCCTGTCCTAGAGTGGCATACAATGTCACCACTGAAAATATTAGGAAAGATAAATGTAAGCACAAATAAACTGCAAGATTCTTTTCAAAAAATATCCTTTAGTGATATTATGGTCAGTATATTATAGTGTTATAACATTTCTAGTAAAATCCTAGATATTTTTTATATTTGTATACTTATCCTGCATAATGCATATTAATGCTTGTTCTTGACAGAGAAAAGAGCTGTGTAAAGGTCTGTGCTTGAAGAAGTTGCTCCAACTAGCTGAGAGGCCAACCCTATCACGTAGCTCCCACGTGACCAAAGGAAGTGACGTTACGGAACCTCACATTACTCTGGAATCCGAAACATCGGAAGGTATAGTGGGAAGGTAGCTATGTGATGGGTGGGTCCCTTTAGATGCAGTAATGCAGGATAAATATACAAATATAAAAAATATCTAGGATTTTACTTGATTTTTTACTTATCCTGCATTACTCCTTAATGCATCATCATCGGACGGAATAGGTGGAGGGCATACCTTCAGATGTGGGCTTTCATCTTTTATTTCCAGATTCAGTTCCCTAGCCAGTCTTGCGCTAAGTGGTTGGCATCGGGTGACCACTCTATGTACGGGAACCTCAAAATTCCCTCAGCCCGTCCTCGGCTGTCTGGTCGGCGTCAGGTGACCACTCCATGTATGGAAAAAACTCTGTTTCCCCCTGCCCGTCTCCGGCTGTATGGAAGGGAAGAGTCAGGTATGCGTTGTGTCCTGTGTCTCGGTTAGGTCGAGATAGGAGTCCAGGGCATACGCCAGGGGGGTCGAAAGGCCGGCTCTGGACTTGGAGGCCAGGTCAGTGACAAGTAGTGGTGGTGACCTGTTGGGCTACTACTAACAGACCAAAGCTGTGCGTTCCTTGCACATCCTCCAATGCGACGTCTCGCAGGTAGTGACTGGCGAAGACTTTGTTGGATCGCCAGAAACACCCCTCCCTGTGTAGCCATGGTGGAGGCGACTGCCCGGATCTCGTGCGGGTTGTTGGAGCAGGGAGGGTCCAATCCCGAGGACTCATAGGCCTGAAGAGTGATTGCTGGTAGCCAGAGGGCGATCGTGTTGCGGCTGACTTCAAGAGTACAAAGAGGTGTTGTCGTTGTCTACGGCGTTCCTTGGATCGTCTGATGTAGCAACAGAGCACTCTAACCGGACATAGGTGGAGCTCTGTCTTCAGAGCCCACAATCGACGATAGGGGAGGGATGAGGAACTATCTATCGGGCTGTGCTGGGAGCGGATTCTTTGCAATGAAGTCCCAGCACAGGCCCAGATGCACAGCTCTGTGTGCTCCAAGCTCAAAGCAGACCTGTGTGACGTCCAAGGAGTGAAGCTCACTGACACGGGCTGCTGTGGCGAGCGCCAGTTTTTCATCAGATTATAGAATGACGTCTTTTCGAGTGGCTCGAAAGGCGCGTCTCTCAGCGATGTGAGAATGGCGTTCAAATCAAAAGCTGGTGCATGGATTTCGCCTTTTGGTTTTCCAGCCTGAATGAGCGGAGCAGAGCCTGGAGTTCCAGGATTTTCCTCATGCGCCGAGCCTTCGGAACTGCCAGGATGGAGTTGAGCGCCACAAGGTAGGTCATGATTGTACTGCCCTTGAGCTTCACTTGTGGCACAGTTGAAGCATGAACTCGACCAGGAATTGAGGCAATGCAGAAGTGGGGTCTTGTTGTTCGCCCCTGCAAAAGCTCTCAAAGGATTGCCACATGTCATCATAGAGGCTCCTAGTGGTTGGGTGATGGGCCATCATAATGGCCCTAGCCGCTCTGGCTGAGTAGCCTTTGGCGTTCAGTGCTCTCTGTAAATGGACCAGACGTGATGACACAGCTTGTCCGGTCCTGGGTGGCTGTCTGCTGTGAGGGTGGATCAGCAGATTTGGCCAATCCGGGAGTGGCAGTGGGTTGGCGTCGGGCAGCTCTCTGAGGTCGAAAAACCAAGCCCTCGCTGGCCACCAGGGTGCGCCCAAAGTCAGATCGAGGTTCTGTATCAATCTGATCTTCTTGAAGACTTAGGGGAGGAGTACAGGCGGCGGAAAAGCGGCAGGGGACACTGAAAGCTTCGACTGCCCAAGCCAGAAGATCCGGGACCGGTGATATTTAGGTCTGGATCGGGATCTGGAAGTTCTGGCTGGTGGAGAATAGGTCTATGTTGGGGAGACCATGGTCTCGACAAACAAGAGCGAAGGCATCTGGGTGAAGCTTCCACTCTGTGGGAGCAACTTTGCCTGGTTGAGATAGTGCATCTACTAGGGTGTTTCGGCAACCCAGAATGTGTTGGACCTGGAACTGAATCTCCAGATGCTCCACCAGGTGAAACAATCGGTACGTCTGTTGAAGGAGCAAGGTCAAATGAGTCGTTCCCTGGTTCCATAGACACCATACAACGGTTATGTTGTCCGTCGAGATGGAGAGCCAGGCGTGTCTGAAGGCCTGCTTCCAATGAGCGATGGCCAATATGAGCACCTCCAGTTCGAGGTTGTTGATGTGCCATAGGCGCTGATCGGCGGACAACAGCCCTGAGGCGACCTGTCCCTCCGGGTGTGCGCCCCATCCCTGCAGGGAAGTGTCTACGAATAGGCGCAGAGAAGTTGTAAGCCCTGTCAAGGAGACGTCGCCTAAGACATTAGATTCCATCATCCACCACCGGAGATGCAGCTTGAGATGATCCAGGAGGACGATGGATACTGAGGGGTCCCTGCAGGGAAGTGTCTACGAACAGGCGCTGAGAAGTTGTAAGCCCTGTCAGAGAGACGCCGCCTAAGACATTAGATTCCATCATCCACCACCGGAGATGCAGCTTGAGATGATCCAGGAGGACGATGGATACTGAGGGGTCCCTGCAGGGAAGTGTGTACGAACAGGCGCAGAGAGGTTGTAAGCCATGTCAAGGAGACGCCGCCTAAGACATTCGATTCCATCTGCCACCACCGGACATGCTGCTTGAGATGATCCGGGAGGACGATGGATACAGAGGGCTCCTGGTGCCTGATGTAAAGAGCCAGGAACAACTGAACTGGGCGCAGCTGAAGCCTTCTCTGTAGGTCAAGTCTTGTGCTGAGGTTATGAGGCACAGGAGGACTTGCCATTGGTGCAGAGTTCTGATAGATGGAGCGCTGGAGTCAGGTGCGCCTGCATGCGCTCCCACCAGTCTCTGGGTACAGAGAGGGATCGAGGTGCGTTTGGAACAGGCCCCCGATGAACTGAAGGCGATTTCAGGGAGTCAACTCTGACTTCCTGAGGTTGATATTAAAACCCAGGTGGTACAGGAGCCAGAGGGTGAAGTTCCTCTGGCGGAGTAGAGTGACTGTGTCCCAATGGTTCAGTAGGCAGTCGTCTATGTACGCCTCGAACTGAATATCCCGGTGATGAAGGTACGAGGCTTATGGCTTGATAAGCCGTGTGAATAGCGAAGAAATCTTTACAAACCTGTAGAGGTTATGAATTCTCTGATGAAATCCTCCTTGGGGCACTTATTGCATTTTCCTGGCTCAAGAAAATCTACATGACATAGTTGTAACCATTTCCCTTAATAAAAATGTTACCACACAAAAACTTCGTTTTTGTATGATAAACGACCACCCTTACGGTGCCTCACCCTCCACGGCGCGTCACGCCAAGGGAAGCAACTCTCACCCAAATCACTTTCCATATGTCTAATGCTGACGGAATGTGGGGAGGTGGGTGGCCGTGCCCCAAGGAGGATTTCATCAGAGAATTCATAACCTCTACAGGTTTGTAAAATTCTCTTTCAGATTAAATCCTCCTTGGGGCACTTATTGCATCCTGACAGACTCCTAAAGATAATCTAGGAAGTGGCATCCGTCAGCAACAAGCGTAATAAATACATCGTATTTTGAATATTCAGTGAATAGACTAAGAGTTCAATAAAATGGAACCAACCTTTATCGTGAGGCACCACCGTCGAGAGGCGGGGGCTGGAGACAGGCGTGGTCGACCATATACTATGATATTAGCCTTTATTCGTGGCTGATCATATTTTGAGAACTCAAAACACACACCCCGCCCCCCTTTTTTTAGCGAGTGATATAGGGGCGTAGATCACGAGAGACTATAACCGCGCTGAGCTAGGCCAGAGGGTCTCCGAGGATCTGAGGAGTGCTGTGCAATACGAGTATTATCGAGTAGTATGGTCGGATAATTTATCGACCGTAGAAGATAGAATCCGGTCTGTTACTGAGCAGTTGTATAACCGGTCCGGGCGATCTAAAATCTCGAAGGCTCAATCGGCTAGAGATTAGAACTTTGCCCAGTTCGGAGAACTGACTGACCAAACCGAGCACGCTCGCTTGAGTGTTTGTCGAGTTGGTAGTGTTTTATGAACGTGCTCGGCTGGCTCCAAATAGCCGCGGAGCAGATCTCCTCAATGGGCAGAGCCGCAGCGTACGCTTGTGACGTAGCTACCGCTCTAACCGAATTGCATTTGCGCCAAACAAAATGGCAGCACCCGATCAAGATGATCCGACTGAAAATCAAGATCTATATTACAGAGCTGATCTTACTTCGCGGAGTGCATCAAAAGACCAGAGCACCTTGATTAAAAGGGTGAAAAGATTCGGGAATATATCTGCCACCCAGTTGACGGTACACCTCCTCCATAGGTCGTGCAATTGACCGAAAAGTGCATGACAGACACTATGTTGTTTATCAACAGGATGTTGATTTTGTTACTATGCATAGACTCGTCCAGCCAAAATAGAACTCCATAATTCCAGTCTAGTTCAACAAGAGTGCAAACTGGAGGATGGTGAATAGTAAAACACAGCCATCTTCTATATATGAATGAATATTTTCATTTCTATGTGTAAACAGTCCTCAATGCAGGGGTAGAAACTAACAGTTTTTGTCCACTAGTCCTCATAATGATAACATACAGCAAAACCCTTAAAATTGGCCAATTTCTACTAGTCCTTAGGATACCTTTACCATTGGGCAGTTTGGTAAGGACTACAGGACTAGTGCCAATTTCTAACGCTGCAATGACTGGAGAGATAAACAGCTTCCCTTATATGTGTCTATGCAAAAGGTTATGAGCAAGGAGGACTATGAACTATCCAATTAGCAATCCTGCAATGAATATCACAGTGACCTTACTCTCAGAAGTGTATTATTTTGTTTGTTGTTACACACAGTTCTCAGCAAATTTCCATCTAGATGACGGTGTAATGTAAATAATTGAGCCTTGACCAGGCAATCAAATGATAAATAATGTAAGAAAGAATCGGACGTACATGGATATATAATCAGGCATGTCACTGACCCTGACCACCCGATCCATTAAGTTGCATCCTAAAACTAGCAAAAATCCCCATGGGCATGGATCTACAAATTTTGCAGCTCTAACCGAATGAGCCTTCAACCTGGTAGGGGGGTCCCTGCCTTGAAGGGTGTACGACGTACAGATAGTAGAGACTATCCACCTGGTGATAGTTTGTTTGCTCGCAGGTGAGCCAGCCTTCCTACCGCCATAACAGCAAAATAATTGGTTATCCTTACTGATACCCTTAGTTCTGCTGATATAGGCCTTGAGGGTCCTGCGGACATCCAAGACATGAGCATGTCTTGCAGTGGTCCTCAACTAGGAAGGCTGTGAAAGAGCAGGTAGCTCAATAGGAGCCGTCACGTGGAAGGCGTGTGCGACCTTAGGACGGTAAGAATCCGGCAACCGAATACTGACCCTGTCCCGGTGAAAGACAGTTAGCTCGGGATCGGCTGACATTGCATGAATGTCGCCTACCCGTCTGCCGGACGTTACCGCCCCAAGGAACGCCGTCTTCCAGCTCAACAGCTGAAGAGAGAGAGACGACAGATCCCAAAAGGAAGGACCGGAAAGCCAATCAAGAATGATTGACAAGTCCCAAGGGGGACTGATCCGCCGTACAGGCGGTCGGATCCTGTCCACACCTGCTAAAAAGCGCTGTACTAATGGGTGCGCACCCAGAAGTGCCCCGTCGACAGGGACGTGAAAAGCTGCAATAGCTGTAGAGTACCCCCGGACTGTTGATGCGGCCAGGCCGTCATCTAGTCGCGACTGGAGGAACTCAAGCACGGCTACGAGATCTGCAGAAAAGGGATCTGCAATCCCTCTATCGACACACCAGCCCATCTATCCTCGTACTGAACGTTTGTCGAATCCCTCCGCGAAGCCAGTATTGTGTCTGCAACACGTGCAGGAATACCGCTCTTCTGGAGGCGATGCCTGACAGTGGCTAAGCCACCCACTGAATCCTGGGATTCGGGTGGAGGGTCCCGTTCTTGGATAGGAGGTCCGGTCGTAAAGGTAATAGAACAGGAGGCTGAGCCAGAAACCTGAGTATAACTGGAAACCAGCTCTGCGCCGACCAAAGAGGTGCCAGGAGCACAAGAAGTCGCGCAGGCTGATTGGCAAGCTGAGATAGGACCTTGGGGATCAGAGGTACTGGGGGGAATGCCCACAGTATTCTGTCCGTCCAATCTAGCTGGAAGGCGTCCGCTGCCACCGACCTCGGGTCGGGGACTCGGGAACAGAACGTTGGTGTCTGGTGATTCACCCCAGATGCAAACAGATCCACCTGGAACGACCCGTATAATTGGGAGATAATCCCGAATATCCCCGGGTCGAGCCTCCACTCGTGAGGAGCGAGGATCCGGCGAGACAGAGCGTCCACCCCCGGGAGATAAACAGGTATCACCCTGATATCGTGTGAGTCGCACCATAGGAGGAACTGCCACGCCTCTTGGAGAAGCGACGGTGACACCGTTCCCCCCTGTTTCCGGATGTAAGTCATCGCCGTTTGGTTGTCCATCTCTAGACGAACCACTTGGCCACGCAGCAGATCCAGGAAGCGTTGGAACACCAACCTGACCGCTCTCAGTTCTAGCATATTGATATGCAGTTTGATCTGCTGCTGGGACCATAGTCCCGAGGCTGTGTGATCGTTCAGAACGCCTCCCCAGCCGGAGAGTGACGCGTCTGTTTGAACTGTGAGAGACGGAACGGGAGTGTTGAGGGAAACTCGGACTGAGGTGAAGCGGTTTGATCCCGTCATGCGGTGCATGTCCTAATCAAGGCTATGAGCGCGTTCCACGACTTGAAGAGAGTGGACTGGGAAGAAATATTCGTCAATAGCGTGGGGGCCTGAAGGACGGCGTCAGTGACAGTTTACTGAAGTCCTCGTCCAAGGCTGAGATCATGTCTCTGATCAGTGAGTCAGGAGGGATCGAGGTGGGGTCACATGAATGGCTGTCTTGCTATCGACCTCTAGACCGGGCGAGGGAGCGATTGCCTCCAATCTTTCTGCCAGCCAGTCTGCAACTTGGGCTAAACCCAGGTGGGACTCGCCATCCGTGAAGGTGTCGTCATAACAAGGGATGAAGGCGCCCTCCGAGGAGCCGGACCGATAGCCACTGGAGCGTCTGCAAACCGTGGAGCGGCTCCTAGATCTATAACCCTAACGATAAGATCTGCTGTCACTCCAACATGAAGACTTACTTGGGGACGCCAAGTCCACGGAGTAATGAGAGGTAGATGGCGTCTGTATGGTCGACCGACTAGGCGGAGGCAGAGGCACGGGCGTCTGTACAGGCGCTGTGGAATAGATAGACGCTGTCTGAAAGGGCGCTTGAAGAGGCGTCTGCAGAGGCGCTATAGGAGGCAGTTGTAGAGGCATCTGTAAAGGAGCTGGCGTTGACGGCTGTCTGGTCTGTAAGTACTGAATGTACTAAAGGAGAGAGGCGTCTATCATGGGCGTCTGTGCCGTAGACCAAGTGTCTGTTCGGAGGATAGTACAGGCACTGTCTGGTAAGAGAGCGCCATGCCAGGCATCAAGGTGGCCACCGCTGTAAAGAGACGCTGTAGTGGTCGTAAAAGTGCTCTGGGTGGAGACTCCGACATCGAGGTAGCAGTTGAGGTTGGGGGGTAGTCATCCGAGATGGCCTATATTGTAGGCGATGTGCACATGTTTATCAAACACAGAATGTACAAAATACAAACCGTAGGCACAACAGACAAAAAACATTAATTCAAAGAGCACACACGTGAGGGTGTGAGTACGTTTATGCTACAGCAAAAAAACAGGTCTTCACTCAACAAGTGACAAGAGTAATGTGAGGATCCGTGAGCAACTTCTTCAAGCAAAGACCTTCACACAGCTCTTTTCTCTGTCGAGAACAAGCATTAATGTGCATTAAGGAGTAATGCAGGAAAAGTAAAAAATATTACCTGATCTTTACTTGATTGAACAGAATTTTACATGACTCAGGCTTCAGACAAGTGGCTACAGTATCAGGCTGCTTTCCTACTTTTTGTCTCAAGATGAATGAAATACCTGGAAAGTTATACTTGAAGCAGGCCTGTGCTGCAACAATCCACTCTGCACGGGTATCAGCAAATATCACAATATTCCTCCTTGGCCTCTGCGAGCAAGCCAACACACCACTGCCAAAGTTGGTGGCTCGCTCAAACACTTGTGCATAGGTGAGCCAATTGTATTCCCCCAACAACACCTGGAATACACGAAAACCAGTTCAGCAAACATCAACATGCAAGATTCAAACTGCCAACTAGCTTTCTATTGAAATGGTTATCCCTAAAGTTCAAGCAAATGAGAGCAGTTACTAATGTGACAAGCCTCAAATTTTAATGTTTTAACAAGTAGCTATATGGCTACCAGTATTTTTTTCCAGGGAGCCAGTGGTAAAATCAACAAGACAAGCAAAGATTTTAGGTAGCCCTAAACATTTGAAATTCTTTTATCAAAAAACTATTATAATATGTACAAGTCATAGCTCTAGGCTTGAAATTGTATATTAGTGTACTTGATTTTTGTTTTTTTGTTACTCGAATGATATCATATGATGTCTAATTATTAGCAGACATGTTTCCCACGATCTGCTGTTCTTTTTGTTGGCATGCAGGAGACAACAATCTGTCATTAACAGATTTTCATAGGTTTTTGACAATGTGTATCTAGCATGTGTTTAGATCTTAACTGAATATATTCAAAGTGATAAGACATTAAAAGCGAATACCAGTGTTGTAAATGGTGTTACCTTTTCATTTCATTATGCAATGAATATTGTTAAATTAGTAACAATGAAATAATCGTATCTGTAGCAATACTAACATGGAATCTGCTACAAGGTTCGTGATTGGTCAAATTTGAGCACGTGACCTAAGACAGGCAATCAAATTACAGCTATGGTCCTCACGTGTGATGAATTTTTGTTAAATCTTGTTATTCCTTACAATTTTAAGCAGGAAATCGAGATCTATATTAAAAATACGGAGCTTCATGGATGTATCATGCTAGGTTACGAGCTGTGAGTATAGTGAATAATTTTTAATCTATCGATAAAACATAATTTGAAATGGAATACGTATTTCAGACATTGTGAAATGTGATAAATTTAATAAATGAATGATATGACAGGTAGGTTAATAAAATTATGTACTATTTTGACTTAACTACAGGCTTGGCCTGTCTACCGGCCTACGGTGTTGAAAGAGTTTACATAACCAAATCCCCTGTAATGCTGCATTGAGCTATGGGAATGTTAATGAAACAGACAATGAGTATGGTATATGCGCATCATTGCGACCGTGAAAACTCTGGCGATCGAGAAAATGGCATCGCAAATGTCAATCAAATTATTTATGTTTGCATCTACGTATGTGAAGCAATGGAATTTAGTTGCCACAAGATATTTTTCAAGGTAGTCATTTGGCGACTGTTGAATTATAGTCAGTAGACAAATGGAAATTTGGGTCACATTGGCGACCGTTTTAGTTGCAACTTTGAGGCCTGTTTGAGTACCTTCTTGAAGACTCTGCCATTAGGCTGGACCTCATCCTCCTCACGGAGCAGCTCCCGTGTGCCGAGACATGGTCGGTCGGTGTACTGCTGGACAGCCCGCAGGAACAGATGGTCTAGAGTGCTACACTCAGGAAATAGTGTGGTTGTAAGCTTAGGATTATCTGCATAACGGTAGGGGGATCCATAGGACCCATCTACTGGAGTTGCCTATGTGAAAAAGTAAAAAATCATCATCATTATCATGACATAATACACACTTCAGTGTAAAAATAGGTTGTGGCATAAAAGAACTGGAACAGAATAAGCATATTCATTCATATAGGAGATCTTCAGCAACTGGACAGTTTGTTAAACAGGGTCTTTTATGATAACAATAACTTTTCCAACATCTCACTTTACAATATTGCGACACAGAACTGATACAAAAGAACAACATAAACAGTACTTTATCATTCAGCTACAAACAAATGGCATTAGAGAATAATTATAACTTCTTAGTAACGTTTGTAAGATCATTCATCTATATCACAACCAAGATGATCAATTTGGATGACAAGTCAATGTCCTAGAAAATGAACAGATCTGAAACTGCATAAACACAAAACAGCCTGTGACATAATTCAATCAGCCACTACTGCACTAGTATGAAGTCCATGCCCAGGAAAGAGTCTTCAGGTCATATGTCAGAAGTAAAATCAACTATAACAGATTAAATAAGACAGATTTGTTCTTGTAGACTCAAATGATTTTGGAACAGAACACATATATATAGATAAATACACCAATATACCAACCATATTATCAACCAGAGATGCACGGTCAGAGTCCTCAAAAATGATCTGCTACATCTACGTCATAGTAACACAGATATGGGACAAGTATACAATACCCAGGACCCTAAGTATTATGCAGATGTTCTCTGTCCACTAACGCATCACTGTCATGACTGTACATTTGCACAGTGTTTCAAGTGCAATGATAGGAAACACCTCATTAAAGAGACATATTAGAGGTGAACAACTCTGTCGTAACAGTGACCTCAGAGGATGCAATCTGTTACTCATTTTCAAACATTTCAGACTAAGATATTTTATTCATACGTCACACATCTTTATGACGTCCTTTGTCTGATCCGACAGTTAATAAATTGTTGAGAGATATTTCATGTAGATTTAGACTTTCCCATTCTATGCCAAGAAGCAGAAAAACATATTTGGCGATGCAGTTTATTTGGTGTAGCTATGTGTGGTGCCTAAAACTTACACCTAATTTGTTTTAACATAATAAGATGCCAACTAGACTGACATTAAGTCTCTAAAATGAACACATGTTTCAGATAAAAACAGTTGTTAAAGTATAGTAATCATGGTAATTATGAAACATAAATATATAATAAACAATGATAAAAAGGAGCACAGAGAGTCTCTTCATTTTCACATACTGCAGTAATCTAGACCTGACAAATATTAAAGACTTGCATGGGTTCTATTAGACATATCTGTGTCAGGGTCATAATGACAGACTCTATGCCCACTATGCTCATTTTTCAATATCTGGACTTCTTGTCATGCTGGTTATAACATATAGCTCCAGTATCCTAAATCTCTAAACTTGCATTAAGGATTGTGCTATCTTGACCATGTTGATTTACAAATATGAAAACAGAATTCATCTAAAATTAATTTTTGATTCAACGGGCTATCAACAGGGCAAAGCTACTTTCATAGTTCATTGTGATGTGCATAAAGTTTATTGACCTACTTTTATCCTACTTGATCTCTTGAGGGTGGCCTGTGGTCTGTAAGTGATTATATATGGGATGTATGCTACCACATCGTAGACAAACACCACTGCCTTGATCAGGCCAAACACAGCTTGGATAAACACGTCGCTCATACTGTCACCGGATCATTCTCACCTGAAATGGACAGAAACAGCATAAACTACTGGAACTCAACAATCAAAGAAAACTTGTGTACGTAAATACCTGGTTCTCATAATGATATTCATGGGAAAACCCTCCAAATAGCGGAAAAACTCCAAAAAGTTAAAAAGTCCCCAACATGTTAGCCGTAGGGCTAGTGCCAGCTTAGATAAGTTCTGAGCCTGATGATGACAGTAGGTCCTGTCTGCATTCTACATAAAGTAAACATGGTAAATAAAAAACACTAGCTGGGTCATGTGTATTTACCCTCCAACCCGTCAGCTGAACACTCATACAACATTGTCATTTAAATGTCATACTTCCCAGTGTTTACCATGTTTCCTGTCAAATACCTGCCATCTTTTATCATCACTTGCATCAAACTGAATTTGTGGTCTACTACCATGGGTATTGATACAAATCATGGAAACTGATTCTGGAAAGATGGATAACACAAGAAATAATATGCAGCCACAATTTGGTGTTATATTTACATATCTTGAGTCCCATTTCATGGGGTGGCTTCACATTTACTGGACTCAAGTTTCAGACTAGTGGCTAGGGAAACTCTCTAGTTCATAGTTAAGAATATGTATCTGAAATTTCATATCAATGTTAGAAATTAAGGAGTCCTTGGATCAATAGTACTTCATCGCTAAAGTATTTATATCTCAGGCTCAATAAATCTTTAATCTTGAACAATTATGATAAAATCTTGAGTCCCCATGTCGACTTCCATGCTTAATGCTGCTTAGTAGCATGGTTATAGGCACAGCATATTTCAGCATGTGTGTTCCAGCTTGTGTTAAACCTGGGGTGGACTGGAGGAGGTACCAGTACTACCACTACACCAATGTACAAGTTGTGTTACCAAGCACAAACTATTGTATCTCCTTAGCTTAGCCAGACCATTGGAACTTCCCAAACAGAATAAGTATCCTGGGTTTGGGAGAACAAACAACAAACCATATCAGCCTGATCAGCTTGCCCATTCATTGCCCTTATTCACGGGATTTAAGGTTTCAAAACAGTTCACCAGAGCTCCAGATAACTTTTAGAGCAATTGAGTTTTTACTTAAAGATTTCTATTTTAATTGGTCACATGTATTACATTGTTCATTGGGTAACCAATATTATTTCACTCATCTATTCATCACTCTATTGGGTATTTCCCCAAATGTGTGAACATTTTTAAATTTCAATAAATATGAAATAATGTTTTAGATGTATTTAACCATGATAACAGTTCTAAATATAGACTTGACTCAGTAAATGAATTAGCTTGTAAGTAATTATGTTCCAGAAATTAGCTTCGTTGTATACATGCTGAAAGGTTTATTGGGTATCTAGGTGTGCTGTTTTTTCACATTTGAGTTTTTCATTTAATGCATGCATTTTCGTTTGTGAGTTAATTGAAAGATTTTACACAAATACGCTGCTTATCTGTAGCTCTGGTTCATAGATTTTAACAAAGAAAATATATTTTCTCATATTGGTTATAATGTATATAATCTAAGAGTAGAGCAACAATTGACAACATTCTGAGCTTGACAGTAAGTTATTATCATGGTCATCATTGGTCATACAGATATAAAATCATACCGTCATGACTCAAATATGCTCCAATATTAACATACAGGGAACTACATAAAAAGGTAGGAGGCCATCCATCACATAGAATGAATAGTTAAAAGCAACATCTGTGACTGTGCCTGAATCATTCAAATCATCGCATTGGATAAACAATATTGAAATCACAATGCCAAGATTATTTTCATCGCACAATAATCTGCTCAATCGTGTTTGAACAATTAAACTGTTTCAGCCCTGGGCTATCTTATACTGACAATTCATTTCATACACATGGCACTCAACATGCTCAACAGATGGTGCTCAAAATCAATATTAGTTTCATCATGTTTATGTGTTTAATCGACTGACATGTCTTTCTGAATGAAGTGGAAAGTTATGAAAATAAAGGACAACACGTCAATAACCATGCAAGTGATAATGTACTGCACAAGCTGCTTTTGTGGGTGTTAACTACAAAATACTTCAGGAAGGCAATCTTAATTATTTCATGGTGGGAATGATGAAGGTTTCTATTTGAGCTTGGTACTAGTGTACACTCACATGACTTAAAAACATTCTTGGCTAAAAATAAACACCAACACTGTAACACAACCGGTTTTCCTTCATGAACCTTTAGGCCATGCTTTTTAATTTTATGATTCACAGGTTTATTCCAGACCACACAAGGTCTGTCAAATAAAAATATTAGTAACATCTAAATATTTTTTACATTTGTATTCTTATCCTGCATTCACTGCTTACCTTACGATAACAAAGACAGTGCTCAGCAATGATCTTGGGTGAAAAAAAAAATGTTTCCATTTTCAACTCCTGCTTTTTGCATGGACCATCTCTGCTGTCATGTGACCTTGATGACAAGTCACCTTCGTCACATCACTGCCTTCGACCAAGCTTAAAAAACAATCTTTTGAGGTTTCTGAAGCCAAAGTGGGTAGGCAAGTCTGCGACGGATGGCTAGTAATGCAGGATAAGTATACAAATGTATACCACCGTGTCTAGTTGGAATAGGTCATCGGTCAGGATGTTCCGACAACAGGGGATGTGCTGGACTATGAATTTTAGTCCAAGATGACCCACAAGATGAAAGAACCTGAACGTCTGTTATAGAAGGGAGTGAGTGTGTTGTCTCTTGATTGCGCAGGCACCATGACACAGTACTGTTGTCGGTGGATATTGTGAGTTGGGTGCACTGTAGCTGCTCCTGCCAATGTGAGATGGCCAGAATGAGCGCTTCAAAATGTTAGATTGTTAACGTGCCAAATCGGTTGTGCGCAGGACCACAATCCTGAGGTTGTTTGGCCCTTTAAGAGAGCACCCCTGCTGGGAAACAGGGCTAGGCCGAATAAGATATGTTCAACTATCAACCACCAGTTGAGAATGTCCTCAGTTGAGACGGTAGATTGATAGCTGCATACTGGTCTTGGCGACTGATGTGCGCAAGCCCTGCAACACTTGCCCCTGACAAGAGCGTATGTGGCTGTTGAATAGAGGGTAGCAAATTGTTGTCTACAAGTTTTTGTCGTGTCGTGCCTTGCCTGGACAGGTTTGAAAGTAGTTTTCATATGCAAACCACTAATAGCTCCCATGTAGACTACATAAAAGCACTCGTCAACGGATAGGCAAGATACGAGGCCGTACAAATGTTCACCTTCTTATATTGAGGTGACATTGAAGGGAGGAGCCTTGCACTCTGTGTGTGCCTCAATATTGTGCATGTTGACACCAGTGGTTTGCTTAAGGTCGTGTCTCATTCACATACTGCAACAGTCATCTGACCGAAAGGTTGCAGCATTACGCACCAGTAAGCATGCCAACCAACCAGGTGCAATGACCCTGACCATTAGGTTAATTGACCTAATTCCGGTGTTTATAGTCAGAAATCTTGATCCATGATATTTTAATCACCCTAGTACTTAAGTACTATGAACACATCTCAGTGAAATCGTTTAGCCAACATTGAACGTACATCGCTATACTGGAGAATAGACGGGAAAAATCATAGACAACAAAGACAGCACGAGACCAGTCCAGGGGTGGAAATTTGCCATTTCCAGACTCCTGGGGCAAGTAGAAATACAAGGTTGGGCAACAAAATCACTTACTATAACTTGTCCGGAGGCAAGTAATATTGGAAATTACTATCACTGTCTACATGTCTAACTAATGGTAAAATGGTACAATAAATTCCTTGAGAGAAATTTCGTAATCACGCTTTCGCCATACACTGACACTATTAAAGAACACACGAGACTTAGAGTTACGTCCCTTTTCTATTTTCGTTTTAATATTCAATCGGAACAGTATGAAACAACTTTCTACACTCGGTTTGAATGCTTTTCTCGCATTGCGGCCTAGAGGGATCTGATAATTGATACACGATCAATACTGCCTAGAGGGGTCTCGTAATTGAAACACATTGTGGCCTGTGACTGACTTCAATGTAAACAGTTACGACCCGGTTATGGCGACACACAACATGCACAAGCAGGCGTCTGTTAAAGTTTTTTTCGGTGGGGAAAGTGAAAATAAATCTGAAAATGTCGATGATAGCGAATCATGTAAAAGAAAACGACCAAATGAGGACACATGTTCTAAGAACAAGAAGTATGATGCCGAAAAATGGGACAGAAAATTCATCCAGAGTTGGTGCAATGAGTTTCCATGGGTAGTGTATGACGAAAAACAAAATGTCATGAAGTGCAGAATTTGTTGTCGGTATCCAACTGTAACATCCAGAAATAAGAAACATGTTTTTGTTGACGGTTGTACACAATTTCGAAAAAACATTATTTGAAAAGTTATGAGGATTCCGATGTTCATTTAGAATTTACCTTAGTCCTTATGTAGATATAACAGTGCTGGTGTAGTGTAATTTTGTTCAACGGTAAATAAACACATATTTATGATTTTAAGTTTTATTTTGAAATTATTTGGGCAAGTGAAAATGAAATCAGGGCAAGTGAAAATTGTCTTTAAACTTGTCCGATGGCAAGTGAAGTTTTTTTAAAAATTTCCACCCCTGCAGTCGCTGCCGAACTTTGGAGAAAAAAACAACCTCAACTGTATGCAGGAATTTTTTATCACAGTTGTAAGTGGTTTAGACAATTGTCTTTGGTTTCAATAAGATCTTGTAAAACCCAAAGTGGGAAAACCAAGCTTAAGTGACATGAGCCGTGTAGTTTTGCCTCTGCCACGCCCTTAACCTCGAAGGAAATCTGGTACTGACCTTCCTTGAGGGATGAGCGTCTTGGCTTATAACTGCCCCACATGCCTGCCTGCTGGGAGAAACAAGCTCCAATGCTATGATCGCAGTCTCATCCCTAGCGTAATTAGATACTTTAGCGAGCATGTCTGATTGGTCGTTGAACAGGACGCACGTTGATCAAGGTTGACATAGGAGC